CTCTGGTGACCACACTGTCCCTACAAACGAATTGACCCGAACACCTCCAACGGTGGTGCTACCTACCTCTCAATGGTGGGATGGCACTACTTTAAGGACATTTACACAGCCTAATTCCTTATGGTAGGTAGATGACTCGTAGATACTTGCTCTAATTCAAAACAAATCAAAACTCTTTTCACACCGACACTTTTCAAAAAGCTTTCAAAACAATTTTTCAAACACTCTTGAGGACTGATACAAGAGTCGATCTGAAATCTTTAAACGAAACTTTTTCAAACCCACTCACAATTGAAAAGCAAACACTTTTGAAAACACAATGAGTAAGTATCTAAGAGCCCATGGATAACCATGGATAGAAAGGGTGCTAACACCTTCCCTTTCTATAAATCTACCTCCCGAACCGAGAAACTATCTCATAAGGAATTTTGCTGTGCTTTTGTCCTGTCCATGTTGGAGAAAATAAAAGACGGTGGCGACTCTTGCTTCCGCGACATTTCGCGAACCAGCGTTAAACAGTCAGTTCCAGATCCACCGATCACAAATACTGTGTGGGTTCATTCCATCAGTAGACAATACCAAGCGAAGGTTTCTTACTTCTTTTCCAAATTCAGGATACTCATTATCAATTTTCATCCACTGTGGTGAATCTACCGGATGTCGAAGCTTTCCATCAATAATTATTTCATCTGCATGCCAAGTCAAGTGTCTTGAATCGGTTTCACTATGATACATTCGTCTAAATATCAGAATTATAGGAAAATACCATAAGACTTTTGCTGGAGACAACTTTTTCTTATATCGAGAGACACCGCATTTAGGATACTCATTTAACGATGCATACTCATTTCGAAACAAAACACAATCGTTTGGACATGCATGTATCTTATCATAGCTCATGCCAATAGAGCACAACATCTTTTTGGCCTCATATGTTCGATTGGGAAGAAGATTATCCTCTGGTAGCATATCTTTCATAAGGGCTAATAATTATGTGAAACTTTTATCCGACCATCCATTGCCCGCCTTTAAGTTGTACAACTTTAATACCGCAGACAATCTTGTGAATTTTGTACAACCATTATACAACGGTTTCTCTGCATCGCTTACCAACCTCTCAAACATTTTGGAACAATCTTTAAGGTCTTCTTCAAGTGCTTCTGCAATCTCTTCGACTCGATCATAATCGTATGTATCTGTGCCATTGTCGTTTGAAGCATAGGTCGTATTATCCCCCGATTCAACATTCTCGTTACTTTTCTCACCATGCAAATTCCAACATGTCTGACTTCTATCAATTCCATGCCTCTTTAAATGCGATGCCAACTGAACCGCGTCAACCCGACTCCCATAACAACAACTCAAGCAAGGACATGTCATTTTCCTGGGGTCTTTGGCGTGCGCCACAACAAATTTAACGAATTCTGATACCCCATTCTCATAATCTTTCGTCAATCGACTCGAAGACATCCATTTCTTATCCATGGTATTACTAATTAAGCTAAGCAAAAACAAAATATAAAAAATTTACCTGTAGGGAAACGATCTGAATTTCACACTTTGATCACAAGTAACCCTTATATATAGCAAATTCAATAAGTTAGTTCCCAATCATTACAAGCAATGCTCATCCATCATAGCAGTTCATTCAAATGGTTTTACTAATTAAGCTAAACAAAAATGTTAATTATTCACGCAACTATAGCAAAAGAACAACTAATTATCTGTAGAGAAGTAATCAACTTCTGGACCCACACAATGTAAGATTCGTGTAAACGACCAGACTTTCACTCTGCACCTGTAAAACAATCATACTATCAATATCAATCCAACTTTTCACTTTTCAATGTCTCTTCAACAAGATTTTAATTTACTTATTCAAAACAACAACAAATTTTTAATTTATTCATAAAACACTCAGTTTATTAATGGTATAGTGATAATATCATATCTCTCATTAGTTCTTAGTAATGACTAAACTACTTTTTTATACATCAAAAGTAATGAATATATTTGCTATGAAAGAGTATGTTACTTATGTTTAGTCCAAAGTAGTTTTTCCTTCTAAGAATAACTTTCTTAACCAAGCATTTTTCAACAAACAATCCCTTGAGAATCTCAGACTTTGTAAACGACTCTACCACATAATCACACAATTATTATACAATTGCGACGACAAAAAAAAATCCTTGAGTTGAATATGATTTATTGACTTTCCATTGTATTATCCAGTTTTGTTTAGCAGTTAAATACATGTTATGTAGCCTTTTATTATTTGTTAGTTTACTAGTTAAAAACAATTATTTTTCATACCTTGTATTTGACAGAACTCATTCAACTTCTTAACAAACTTAAAAACTTGAACAATGTACAAAACAACAAGAACAATGTAGAAAACAAGAACAATAATAACAACAATGTAGAAAACAACAACAATGTACAACAAGAACAATAACAACAAGAACAACAACAACAAGAACAATGTTACAACATCAACAATGACGTACCTGAACTACGGCAGTCTAAGACAAGAAACAGTCGGAGAAGAAACGATTAGGAACGGTCGGAGAAGAATCGGTCGAAGAAGAAATGGTCGGAGAAGAAACGATTAGGAACAGTCGGAGAAGAAATGGTCGAAGAAGACACTACGCCAAAAAACTTTCAGAAGAATCGGTCAGAGAAGAAACGCCAAAAAACTTTCTAGAAGACAACGATTAGAAATTATGAATGAATAGGGTTCTGAAAGTTTTATATTTTAATTTTATAATTTGACCTAAGACAACACTTTTTAAAAGCGCTTTCTATCATACAAGATCTAGCAGCGCTTTCACGAGAAAGCGCTTTCTTAAGTGGGGAAATTTTATATTTTAATTTTATAATTTGACCTAAGCCAACACTTTTTAAAAATGCTTTCTATCATACAAGATCTAGCAGCGCTTTCACGAGAAAGCACTTTCTTAAGTGGGGCGAATTTAAGGCCTTTAGCAGCGCTTTTTAAAAGCGCTTTCTAAAGGCTGTCTGTAGCAGCGCTTTTTTTAGTGAATTTTTTAAAAGACTTACAATAGCGTTTTCTCATTAAAGCGCTTTCTAAGGTATGACATTTAGCAGCGCTTTCTAAAGGCTGTCTGTAGCAGCGCTTTTTTTTAGCGAATATTTTAAAAGACCTACAACAGTGTTTTCTCATTAAAGCGCTGTCTTTTTGGTGATGCCAAAAGTCAATTTTAGCGTAGTGTATTTCGCATTGAATACAAAGACGTATACAATAAAATATACTACAAAGACATGTAGAACAAAGATATATATATAAATAGATATCAGTAAACAGTAACAAAGGTGCCCGTAGTCAATATAGGGGGTAACCCAAAATATTATTCAAATACAATAAAAAACGATAACAAAAATACATATACACCATCAAAGACTACTGGGTAAAGCAGACTGAGTCGGCCCGCCACCCTCCCGACGTTCCTCCGCCGCCTCCTGTACTGCAAAGTCTCCCGAACCTCCTCCATGATGGCATCCAAAACACCTCTAACATTAGAACCATCAGGAAATAAACCTCCATCAATACCCGCCTACGCAACATCCATGATACAACGATACACATGTAACACATCAGTGGCATGATCGACCTGTGCCTGCTCCTCTTATAGAATCTCCTGATGAACTAGCCTCGATAGGTTTCTTAGAGCATCCTGTACTAGGTATGGATGAGACACCCTGAAGAACCATATGATATAACCGTCCACGTAGCTCCAGTTGAACAACGATACTCTGGGCCTCATCTGGAACAAGATGATTCTCATAATCATCAAACAAGACATCCATATCCATGCATTTCACCAGGAGAGGAGCATATACAACAAGATCCCAGGGAATATAATGGGTGTGCCCGAACTGACGCATGATTCCATAAATAACACAACATCATCAAATGGTATCGTGACACAATGATTGTTGATCATAAAAATGAGACTTCCAACACATTTCTAATGAATCCTAATATTGAAAACTCACAACAAAATCATAATTTCTAAGCTAAATCACAAATTTGAGTAGAAATTACATAAACTCTAAAAAACTCAAAAACAACTTACAATTGATGAATTTTCTTGGTTGAATGTTGTTGAACACTTAAGTTAATTGATGTTTGACGATTCTTGACGAGCTTTTTGCAAAGTAGTTTGATTTTGTAACAGTGAGGTTTGAGAGGAATGAGTTTGTGTGTTTTATTTTTCTTTTTTAAAATAAGTTTCTACTACAAAGGGAGGGAAAAAGACAACGTGCCCTTAAATCTCAACACAAACCGAAAATATATATTCAGTTGCAATCAGAAATACATTTCTAATTTACACCCAAATTTTTTATACAATTTATGTCCGACAAGATTTTTCAATTTTAAGGGACATTTTTAAAATTTTATGTGGCGCGCTAAAATCTTGATCATAAACTTCTTTGTTTCTCCACATCCAAAACATATAACAAGCAATGACCCAAGTATTCACTTAATTATTCATTCCTTCGAGCCACCTATTTAATATATTATTATACTCCACGCCGAAATCAGAATTTTGTTCTAAAATATACCACTTGTTTCAATTTTTAATATAATATTTTATTTAAAAAAAATATAGGGTCTAATTAATATTATTTAAATCATTCTTTATTTAATATCTTCAAATTTATATTTTAAATAAACATGAGCGCACTAATAAATGATAATAACATTTATTAATTAATACAATTTATTAATTAACTCAAGTGAATTGCGAAAATATATAATGCCAAATTTAACCAGAGTAAAAAGACATCGTACCACAGTTAGTTTACTCCGTGCACCCGCACTTTCCTTTCTAGTATATGTTAACACTCATTCACCGTTATAAACCCCAAAAACCCTAACACCTTCACTTAGACACGCTCCACTAGAACGAGCTCTGTCTCTACTTAGGGTTTCCACACAACAGACCCTCTGTCTCTCATTCCCAATAACAACAACCATGGTGGCCGACAAGAGCAAGAAGCTTAAGGTTTCTGAAAAGGGCGAGAACGCCGAGGAAATCGACGGAGAACTTGTCCTCTCCATTGAAAAGTTACAGGAAATGCAAGATGAGCTCGAAAAGGTATCCAAATTATATATGCTTTCAAAATTTAATCTAATTTAGTCGATTCAAATTCCGTCGTTGAAATTGAAGCGTTTCTTTTAGTGTTTATTATATGTAATTACCTCAATGAGCGTGAACCCTAATTTACATAAAATTTGTATTTTTTTTTTTTTTGAGAAATAAGTAAGGTAATCGAGGGTTTTGTTATTTTTATTAAATTTAGTTCTGTTTGTTATGGTTTTATGGTTTTAGATCAATGAGGAGGCTAGTGATAAAGTTCTGGAAATAGAGCAGAAGTATAATGAGATAAGGAAGCCGCTGTATGATCAGCGCAATGATCTTATCAAGTCTATTCCTGATTTCTGGTTGACTGCTGTAAGCTATTATCCCAGGCTTTTGCTTTTGATTTTGATGGGTTGTGGAATTATGAAATTGTTGTTGGGAATGGATTGTTTACTTTGTTTTTTTTTTTTGTTTTTTTTTTATGGTTTTGCAGTTTTTGAGCCATCCTGCTCTTGGCGAACTTTTGAATGAGGAAGATCAGAAGGTTTGGTTTCTTTAGTTGCATGCAATTAAGTTTGCCTTATGAAGTATTTTTTTGTTTTGTTTGGATGATATTACTTGAACAATATTTAAAACTCATTTACAAGATGTTTTGTTCATATGTTTTATGCCTTGGAATTTGTTTCTGATTAAGATTTTTTGAAAGTTAAAAATTGTACCAGTTTTGGGTTTGTCAATTTTTCTAACAATATATATTCTTTCAAAATTAACTCTTTCTGTGAGCACTTGTCAATTCAAGTGCTGTTCAGTTTACTTTTGACCCGGGCTTTACATGAATAAGTTCTTGTGTAGTTGTCCTGTTAATTAGTGTCATAAGCAGTCATATCATCTCTTTTGCATTCCATTTATTTGTCGTTGCTTCATATATTGTTCTGAAGTAATCCCATGAAGTCTGTTGAAAATGGTTATCACTATTCGTTTTATGATGCATAGCAGTTGAATCTTGATTCGCTACGAAGTAAATCTAATTGATTCCCTGAGTGTATTGGGCATTGATTTTAGCTTGAATCCTAGTTCATTAATCATTATGAAGCATCCTGGGTCATTTTAATGATCACAGCTTGAACTAAGTCTGGTCAACTACTTTATCTTGTTATCTTTGTATAGCTAACCACATGTTTTCGTTTTATTTATGACTTCAATATTGAAATATTTTGAGTTTATTATGTCATGTACTGTATCAGTTTATATTTTTCTATGCCACTTGTTTGTAAATGTAATAATTTTATTGTTCTTGTATTTTACGAATCATAATAAGTTTTAATTTCACGATTTTAAATATCTGACTTCCAATTCATAATTTCGATCTTCACTTGATAACTATGTCTTTTATTGTTGTTGTTCTTGTAGGCACAGTTACCTGATAAGTAATTTAAATATACTAACAGCTCTTTATTTTATAGATATTTAAGCATTTAAGTTCTCTTGAGGTTGAAGATCATAAAGATGTCAAATCAGGCTATTCAATCACCTTTGTGAGTTGCCTCTTCTCTTTCAATTGGGTTCATAATTCATAGAAATGTTTTGCAAATCACATTTAGGTTCTGGAAATTTATATTTTTCTTAAACTTAGGTTAAATGATTTATACTAACTTCCGATAATATTTCCTGTGCAGAACTTTAATCCTAATCCATATTTTGAGGATACAAAGCTTGTAAAGACTTTTACCTTCCTTGAAGAAGGAACAACAAAGGTTACTGCTACTCCCATTAAATGGAAAGAGGGCAAGGTAAGGCTATATATTTAAGTTTTGCTCTTAATCAATCCACTTTTTTTTCCTGTTGTTTTTATATCTTATAAATTGATCTTAAAACGTGAAGGACATTCCAAATGGAGTTAGTCAAGAGAAGAAAGGAAACAAGCGAGCTGCTTCTGATATCAGGTTGGTGTCCAAATATGCTAAATATTTCTGCAGAAGACATTGAAAACCAAAGAATGCCATTTTTGCAGATGCAATGTTCAAATAGATGATAAAACAATTTTGAATATCACCTTTAGGCTTTGTTTTGATTGATGTAATGAGATGGAATGGAGTGGTATTCCATTATTTGGATCAGTTAAAATCGGATGAAGCAGAGTGGAATTGAGTGGTCTGGATTCCGTTCCATTACATACCCATCATATTTCTTCCCCTCCGATTTGGGTGGAATGAAAATTTTCCCTTACAGTCCTAAATTACCCAAACAATGTAATGGAATCTTTAGTCCGCTCCATTCCACTCCACTCCTTTCCATTCTGCTCTGTTCATTTCATAATATCCAAACATAGCCTTAGGGGGCCGTTTCTTTATAAGAAATGTGATCTTGATATTCAATATTTTAGATATTAGTTATAAGATATTTTTAAAAAGCAGAAGTTATTTTGTGATTGGTTACCATAATCAAAATTATTATTCTTTCCCAGAAATATCAGATATCAAGAATAATTTTAAAAAGAAGCTACTCAAATCAGCTTATCATTTGAAGCAGTTTTTATCTTTTCTCTCCAGTTTCTCATATATATTTTTTAAATATATAGCAAACAATTCAAAACTTCTAAAAGTGATTTTTCCAAAACAATTTTGTGATAAATGGGTTCTTACTTGATGTTCTTGCATCACTTGGGTGAACTTCTGGAGTTTAGCCTGATCTTCAACTTTATTTGTGTCCTATCCAAACATTTTCTGGTCAACTTATTCACTGTCGTTAATTACACAAACGAGGTTGTAATCAAGCTTATCAACTAGCGCACTGTTATTAATTACACAAACAATGTTGTAATCAAGCTTATCAACTAGCACATGATGAACATGTGATTAGTGTCACCTATTTTGATTTTTGAACCATACTTCTTGATAATGCCAAGTGGATCTAGAAACTAATTATAATGTGCTGATGAATGCAGTTTCTTTACCTGGTTTAGTGACACCGATGGGAAAGAAGATTTGGATGAGCTCGTTAATGATGAGGTATACTCTAATTTTGTCTAGATTTTGCATTTGTATCACATATTTTCCAACCGTCTATTACAACAATCATTGGTGTGCCTTGATTTGTTTTCTGTCGCATTAGATCCTCGTGTAATATTCACTCCAAATTGTAGGTTGCAGAACTAATCAAGGATGATTTATGGCCAAATCCACTTAATTATTTCAACAGCGTAAGTTTCCTTTTGATTTATAATGCTGATAGTTTTTCTTCTATGTTTCACATCATTCATTTTACTCTACTCTCTCTACCACTGTCTCTATCCTTACGTCTCTAATGGTGGTTGTTTAAAACGGAACAGGAGGACCCTGATGAAGCAGAGGAGGATGATGATGAAGCTGGTGATGCGGTAATTATTATTCCTTTTATTTTTTCTGTCTTTATACGGCCATGAGTTTTTGAGTCATGCTGAATATATGCGCAGAAACGATTAGTTACTATGTGATTAGTGGTTGCGCTTGATGGGTATTCTCAACTTAAGTTCCTTACTAAGAATCAATAATTTCACTGAGCATTTTTCTCAAATAATTGGTTCCATTTATGCTTTGTGTATATATTTAAGTATATGCATATCTGCTTTTGGAAATAACATGTATAGATATGATGTTATTTTGAAATAACAATTGTAAAATTTTATCTTTGGTAGGGAAAGGATGACGACTCTGAAGACGATGATGATGATGACGACGATGAGGATGAATAAATAGTGTAAAATGCATTGTCATGACATTACCTGGTCTTTTTTTATTTTAAGGTTATTATAGGAGCATGTTTGTAGGGGTGATGAAAGACAAGGGCCAGTTATAGTGGTTTTTCATCTGGCCGTAATCGATTGTCCTTTGAAGTGGATTTCTGGTTTTATCCAGTGCGCAATTTTTAAGATACATACATCGGTTAAAATTCAGTATATTTAATGTGTAGATGCGTAATCAACACCATTTCTTGTATATTTGGTTTCACGTTTGGGGCATTCAAAATTGATTCAATCAAAATTGTTTCAGGTAGTTTAGGAGCAATCAAAATAGAATCAATTTATTTAAAATCAATTTTCCTCACGGTAGAATCAATAATGATAATCATGTTATAGTTTTGTAAGGGGTCATTTGAGTCTAACAAACACAATTTAATTGTCCTATTAAAGTTTGGTCTTACTTTTCTTAACTCTAATACATGGATTTAGCTATGTCTATATGTCTCTTATCATCGAAACACAGATCTCACTATCCACTTAACGAAAACAAACAAAACATATGATTATTTTTAAGAGTTATTATTCAATTCGTTCTCATGAGGCAAATTTGGAAAACACGTCATTGTAAAAGAAACAGATTTCCTTATACAGTGGGCGGTCTGGCGTTTAAACTCTCCAAAAGCGGGGCGGGTCAACTAAGACGTTTGAGTTTAAAAAGTCTATTCCATTTACTAATGAGTTAGCAGGTTGACGGGTCTACCCATCAATTTTTATTTATTTATAATTTAATTTATTACATAATTTAAAAAAATATTAATAATTACCAAAGAGAATTTTAACATGTCTTGAGTTCAAAAATAAAATAAATAAAAATCAATTATAAGAAAAATATAACGAAATAGACTCAAACACGATAAAATTAACTGTTAAAAGAATCCAATTGATATAGACAATGATAATAGTAGGATATAAAATATAAACACTAGACTTTATCACTGTTTATATCATATAAACTTTTTATTGATTGATTGCTTAATAAATAATACATGTATTTTTCTGCAGTATATACTAATCAAATTCTTCTATTAAAATTAATATTTATTTCTGTTTTGGACTGAGCCTGCCCGTGGCCCAATCACCAGTGAGGCTCAATTCAAGCTTTACAACGTATCATGCTGAGCATTAGATCCTCCGAGCACACCTCGATCATGGGTGACTGGTCGAATGCGACTACGCCCCGCCGGTGCCCGCGAGGAACGTCCCCGACGAGGGACGTCCCAGACGAGGAACATCCCAATCCAAGCCCTGCTCGAGTACCCTCCTCGTAGGGCAGACTTTCAACCTCTTCGGATTTCGCGGAGTCCTCAGAGTCCCGAAAGATCGCGTCTTTACCCTCCCTATTCCGCGGAGAGCATCATCTAGGTAGGGGGACCACGTGCAGGTCCCCACTACTCACGTAGAACCTGGCAGTCCCTGTTGGGCCTGTTTGATTAGCCCAATAAAGGACCTTGGTCCAGCGCTGGAGGCTATAAATACCCTCTATTTCAAGAGGGTCAGGTATTCATTCATTCACAACTATACACTTACTTGCTTGCTCATTTTGTCTCTCACTTTGTCATCGGAGTGTCTTGCAGGTATCCCCCATCTCCTTCAAATCCAATTCAAAGCCAACTGTGACGGTCCAACTCTGATAAGGTACAATTAGTGGCGCCGTCTGTGGGAATCTAAAGCTTCCCCGTCTTATTCACTTAAAAAGACCAAAGCTAGAATCATCCTCGACTGTCATGGCTGACCAGACTCAGGACAACAAGAACGTCTGCGTCATTGAAGTTAACAACAACATCGCCGACAATAATACCGACCCCAACAACGCCGACATCACCGGCCATAACACGGTCCTCAGCGACAACATCCCCGAGCCTTCTAACTACCGAGACGGAGTCACGGCCTCGTCTTCATCAGTCCCTCCTCGGCTTGAAGATCACCCAGTTCCTCTGAACTATCCAGCCGTCCAATTCCACGAGGTTCCTGTCCCCGCTGGGGAAGACGCCACAACCAGGGCACTGTTTGCGGCAATTAACTAGACCAACTATCTCATCTTTGCCCAGGGGGAAAGATTGAGCACTTGAAGACGACCAAAGCCCCCCTAGAAGACACAGGAGGCCTCAATCCCCTCCTCCTCGACGGACGGAGGAACGTCCCCGATCTCCCCCGCAGAGACAGGATCGAGACATCTCTCGAAGCCCGTCACCTCGACCAATCGGGCGGCGACCCCCCTTGGAGAGAGAACCACTCATCGAGACGGGAAGGCGCGACCACGACCCTTCGCGGCAAGAACGAAGACCTCCCGGGGACAGACACTGAGGAACGTCCCGCACGATCAGGGCCATCGTGACCGACAATACTTCAGATCCCCATCCCGCTCCCCAGAACGGAGTGACGAGGACGACCCCCGTGGTCCCTTGTCACAAGCTATCATGGAGGCGCCCATTCCTCCGGGCATGGAAAAGCCTCCCCACTTGAAAGAATATGACGGCGTCGCCGACCCGGTCGACCACATAGACGGGTTCGAGGCCATGCTGCACTACCACAACATCGGGGGACCAATCAAATGCCGGTTGTTCCCTACGATCCTGAGGAAAGCAGCTATGGACTGGTACAAGGGTCTCGCCCCAGGGTCAATTACCTCATGGTGAAACTTGAAGAACCAGTTCATCAGCTTGTTCACTGCGTCGCGACGACACCCGAAGATCGAAACGGCGCTCGAGGCCATCGTTCAGAAGCACGATGAGACCTTGGGGGAATTCATCAACCGCTTCAACCAGGAAGCCATCCAGGTCCCTTGCACAGACCATATGAAGAGATACCTGCTGGAGAGGGGGCTCCTCCCCGACACCGAATTCAGGAAAGTCGTGGGCATCGAACCACCCCGAACGTTCAATGCCCTCCTCGAGAAAGCCAGAGCCTACATGGACTACGAGGAAAGGGAAGCGGCCAACAGAGCCCGAGACCCCAGAAATCACGGATCCAACAACAATCCGCGACAAGATACCGCCCCTCCTCGACGAACCGGGGAAAAGAGAAAGGACGATAAACCCCGAAACGCCCGGGAGTAGAGGGGGCCATCGGAACGGTTCACAGAATACACTCCGCGCTCACGGCTTCCCGCGAGCGCATCTTAGCGGAGTGTGCGAGTACAAATTTTAAAGATGGCGGCGTCAAACATCCCCGACCAGCTCCTGCCAAACCCGAGGTGGACTGGAGCAAATACTGTCAGTACCACCGGAGCCACGGGCATCTGACCGAAGACTGCATCCACCTCAAGGATGCCATCGAGACCCTCATAAAAGAGAGGAGACTCACACAGTACCGGCGAAACAACGCTCCTCATCGTGACGCCCGCGAGACGAGGGAAGCAGAAGAGGATGCCCGACCATCTGATGAGTCGGTTCCCATCCAAACCGCGTTCTCTGTCACAAGACCCGAGTACTTCTACGTCCCTGATCACATGCAAGAACCTCTATCGACGCACAACAGGTGGGAACACTTCCCCTCCGCCATGGTCATCAATGGTGGAGGGTTCAATGATCTGACCATAAATTCAGCTAAGAGGAAGCTGGACGAGTTGGTCGACACGACTCCCCCTCAAACGGTGACCTTTGAAAAGGTGAGGGGTAGATCAGAGCCAATCACCTTCTATCTCGAGGAGCTCCCCTCCGGGCCCCCCAATTCGGTCATCCCTCTGCTGATAAGAGCGAGAATGGCCAACTTCGACGTACATCGCATCCTCGTCGACGAAGGAAGTTCCGTCGACGTGATGTACAACCAAATGTTCTGAACCCTTCAGCTCGACGACTCTCACCTCTCACCTTACATGGGGTCGGACCTGTAGGGCTTTAACGACTCAACTTCCAAGCCTTGGGGATACGTCGAGCTCATGGTTACATTCGGCGAGGATACGACAATGAGGCAAGTCAAGATACACTTCCTCGTCATTGATTTCCCCTCCCTCTACAACTGCATTCTGGGAAGGCCGACACTGGCGGAGCTGACCGCAGTACCCTTCACCGTTCATCTAAAAATGAAGTTTTACACCAAGAGGACACGGGTCACCACCATCCAAGGGGACCTAGCAGCTGCCCGAAGGTGTTTTAACGCAGCATCCAAAGGATGCGACACAGTCGACACCAGCACAAGGCCCGCCAAGAGAGCTGCAACAACACGACCAGAACCTCAGAGGCAAGAGCCCGTCAAAGCGGAAGAGCAGAGAGCCCCTTCAGAGGTCGACTCAATATCCCTGGACACCCGTTTCGACCAGGATGAGCCTCCTAGAGGCGAGCAAGCTCCCTTCGACCAATTCTGGACGGGGACTTCGAACTCGTCCCCCTCGGTGAAGACCCAAGCAGAGGAGTGAAGATTGGCACCAGACTCCCCGACTTAGCGAGGAAGCAAATCAAAGCTTACTTGTGCGAGAATACAGACCTGTTCGCGTGGAGCGCTGTGGAGATGCCCGGACTCGATCCTGAGGTCGCCTGTCACCAACTCGCCATCGATCCAGCCGCTAGGGCAATAGTGCAATGTAGACGTAGGCAGTCTCCGAGAAAACGGAGGCTGCTGAAAAAGCTGTAAAAGACCTCCTAGAGGTAAATTTTATTTATGAAGCCCGGTATTCAACCTGGCTGTCAAATGTTGTACTTGTCAAGAAAAATAATGGAAAATGGCGAATTTGCGTTGATTATACCGATCTTAACCAGGCATGTCCGAAAGATGCATTTCCTTTACCTAATATTGATATGCTGGCCTACAACTCGGCCGGTTATAAAATACTATAGTTTATAGACGCCTATTCAGGCTATAACCAAATCCCAATGGCAATAAGCGACAAGCATTGCACCGCTTTCATGACCAGCTTGGGTAACTATTACTACAACGTAATGCCCTTTGGTCTGAAAAATGCAGGAGTAACGTATCAACTGATGATGAACAAAGTCTTCCGCAACCAAATCGGGGAT